GGTCCTAGTAATGACTTCAGCTATATAATCAAGTTCCGTGGACTATTCTCATCTTGTTTCATGGTCCTAGTTATATAATGAGTCTTGAGCTGTATCATCAAGTGTTCAAGGTTAGTGGTCCTACCGCTATCTTGAGTTGTGTCGAGAGAAAAAAACAGCACATTGCTGATTAACTTGATTGTGGATAAGATAATTAGGTGACCACACCTCCATCGTGGATGGCGCGCAGAATTAATTCTAGGATAGCAACGTGCAGCTACCTCTTTGTCTTAGCTACAAAAGATACACAAAAGGTAGATCAAAGCAGATAAAAAGAGATGAATATGCGGTTAAACGACATGATATATTGTGATCCGTCTAGACTAGGAGCATGTTAATAAAAACCTCTCTAGACTAAGCGTAATAGTAAGTGCATATGCGGCTAAACGACATGATATACCAGAGATGAAGATGGAAGGTGACACAACGAAAGTGCTAAATTTGCACGAGCATGATTATTTATGGATTTGATCTACGGAATGGGATGCCCTCTTAGGGCTTGGGACTCCCATAGATGCATTACTCATGGCAAAGAGGATGTAAAGACGGACCATATTAAAAATTTCCATAGATACATTACTCAAGGCAATAATAAGGTAACTTCCAGGAAATTGCACTTCATTTTATTTATACATTTATTCGCTGAATGGCACGCACCAGCCATGCACGCACGCGCATGTGACATTATATATAGGTATATATATGGGCACACACAGAAATGATCGATTTCCGATGAACATTTTCTTAATCCAGGATGAATACTTTTTAAAAAGTGTTCACACATTTAAGAAATTGTTTATGTGTAACTATAAAAAGTGTTAACGCATGGTGAACATTTTATATTACACGACAAACATGTTTGAATTACGCCATGAAATAAACTAGTGCACGATAGCAAAGATTTCAAAATACTATGTTTTTTAAATATGTGATGAGTTTCTTAACATGATGAATATTCTATAACACACATATAATATTTTCTAATACACATGAACTTTTGTTATATCCCCGATCATTTCTTCAATCTACGTGAACACACTAATATTTTTAGCTCGTGTATTTTACCCAAAAGTATAGCAGAGTGAAAATAAAATGTAAAGATAACCGAAAAATAAAATAAAATAATAGGGCGTTCACTACACTAGCACTTTTACAAAGTGCGTTGCTAACTTTTTCTGTTTTAGAAGAAGTATATGTTGGTAGTCCTTTTTACTAAAAAAAATCCACGAAATAGCAGCGCCCACTGGACTCTACACCCCGTCATGTGCAGCCCACGAGAGATGTTCACCCATCAAAAAAAAACATTGCACTGTTTCACTGGTCCACGTAGCATGAGCATGCGAGCTCGTCCACCATATCGCCTCTCTGCGTGCAGCTATTGTCTCTTCGAGTTAGCTACTACCTCCGTCTAGGTGAATAAGTCATTCACGTAGTTCTAGGTCGATAATTTAACTATCTAAATATGTATTATATGTGACAAAAATATATATTTAGAAACTACATCCGTGTAAAAATCTAGTGATATACTTTTCATGACATATAATAAATATTTAATTCCTCAAAAGATAGACAAATGGTAGATAAAAGTGGATAACAGAACACAAGGATCGTAAAAATTTGGCTGGACAAAGGGATTCTAATAATCCATTGCAATGGCAATTACACAACTGGGGTTTTTCTTTGAAAAGGAGGTTCGAATCTGCGGGCTCTGCATCCAAGGATGCACGGAGTCATTTTTATTATATTATTCAACAAAGTTTAACAAAACAAATACATTGATCAACCCAAAATCATTTTCCTGACAATCTCCGCTACACCTATAAGCTTGATGATGTGGCATGACCTTGCACCAACACACACCATCTAAACCGATGGCCTCGCCAAGCTGTCCCACAACAAGCCGAGAGCCCCAACCTATCAAGCAAACCCTCAGCATGCACCGCATTAACACGCTCTAGAATCTGCCGTCGTCATCTTCTGTTGTCCCATCTTTAGGAGGGATCAACGCAATGAACTTGCGAGGCCCAACTGTCGTAGACGCCACCACGACGCCAGACAGCATAACCACCCTGCGTGCTTGTCTATCCACTCGCGCTGATGCGGCTGAACTGCAGGGCACTGATGGCCCCCGCACATCCGAGGATGTTGATCTGCAGCTTAGTCAAGTCATTTATCTGTGTGAACTGCAATAGTATTGTAGGGACGCGTATCTAGCTCGAGCTCAAATGAGCTCGGATGAACGGTAAAATAAAAAGAATGAAAAAAATTCAGAATGTTTTTAGTGGTAAACTTTGACAAATGTTGTAAGTGCTTGCAAATTTTTCATCATTATATAACATTTGTGAAAGTCGTGAAAAAAAATCGATGCTCCAAAAATTCTACTTTCTAAAGCATTTTGGAGCACTGATTTTGTTTTTTGGCACACTTCCACGAATGTGATCCCATCATGAAAATTTCCAGACACTTAGGTCATTTGTCAAAGTTTACCAGAATAAAAAGACATATTTTTTTACTTGGTTTTCAATTTTTCGATTATACTATTCATCCGAGCTCATTTGAGCTTGAGCTTTGAAGGGTACTTTCAGTACTGTAGCAGGTGCCTCTTGGCACATGGTCAATGTATATGATGCTCAAGGTTTGTAGCTTGCCAATGAGGATGCTTGGAACACGGACGTAGCCAGCGGCTCACCCGGCGGCGGAGCTGCGCTGGACGGGGTATCTCTTGGGAGCACACTAAGGCAGCCGCGACGGCGTGGAAGCAAGGCATGAGTTTTTGCGGTAACTGGCGACGAAATAATAACGTGTGATGGCTTGTTCTTTTCACCGGCTCTACATTTAAAAAAGAGGTCAAAGGGGAAAGTCACCTTCTCAGCCCGAGCTCAAATGAGCTCAGATGAACTGTAAATCAAATTTTAAAAATTGAAAAAAATGTTCTTTATGATAAACATTGAGAAATGTTCTAAGAGCTTGCAAAATCTCATCATGGAGTCACATTTGTGGAAGTTGTAGTAGCATATCGATTTTTCCTTGCCACGCCTTCTCCGAATGTGATTCCATGATGAAATTTTGCAATCTCTTAGAACATTTGTCATAAAAATATATTTTAATTGTTTTCAGTTTTACTGTTCATCCAAGTTCATTTGAGCTCGGGTTGAGAAACTCTTTGTCCAGTCAAAGGTTCTGTTATTAGACAGAGAATATACTTTGGAATTAATATCAAAGTTTTTAATGGTAGCCAAACACTTCAAAGTAAACTACACTGTAGTAGTATTTTTTAAAATACTAAGAAAATACTTTGCTATCAAACAAAGCCTAAATCTAGCACATTAAAAGAGGCAGCCATTCACTGGTCCGCACCTGGCTGTTTAATTTTTTTTAATGTTTTGTGTTGACATAGCAATGTGGTTGTCAAAAAGGGGGGGAAATATGTTCTGACTCACTGTTGAAGTGATCCTAGTAATGACTTCAGCTATACAATCATGTTCCGTGGACTATTCTCATCTTGTTTCATGGTCCTATAGGTATTAATGAATCTTGAGCTCTATCATCAAGTGTTCAAGGTTAGTGGTCCTACTGCGATCTTGAGTTGTGTCGAGAGAAACAAAACAGCACATTGCTGATTAACTTTATTGTGGATAAGATAATTAGGTGACCACCTCCATCGTGGATGTCTGTGGTGCACGACGGCAAGCAGAATTAATTCTAGGATAGCAACGTGCAGCTACCTCTTTGTCTTAGCTACAAAAGATACACAAAAGGTAGATAAAAGCAGATAAAAAGAGATGAAGATGCGGTTAAATTAAGGACATGATATATTGTGATCCGTCTAGACTAGGGGCATGTTAAAAAACCGTAGAAAAATGAGTATTACATGGATCCTCTTGGGGCCTGGGCAAAGCAAAAATGCCAAACTTACAGTAGTAAGCAAAGAGGATGTAAGAGGGACCATGTTAAAATTGCTTTATTACTCAAAGCAAATAGAGTTGCCCTCCACATAATCGTAGAAATTACATTTCCATTTTATTTATACATTTATTCGCTGAATGGCACGCACCAGCCATGCACGCACGCACATGTGACATTATATATGGGCACACACAGAAATGATCGTTGATCATCATAAGTAAGGAAGACCACAAGGAGTAGTACGTCCTCTACTTACTGATCCATGTGTAAATCATTTCGGGCGGGGCAGAGGACGATCTGGTAGTTTGTTCCGGCGGGACATGTGAAGGTGCTGGTCTGGTCGTCCTTGGCGTAGCTGTAGGCGTCGGGGCACTTGCCCTTGAAGAACCTCGAGTAGTTCGTCGGCGGGCAGTTGTGCTCGAACTGGCCCCGGCAGCAGTACGTGTCGCCGCCGAACTTGCCGCACGCGCTCGCGCACCCTCCCGGCACCTGCAGCTCCGGCAGGCACTCCCTGGTGATGTCCACGGCGCAGGTCGCCGCACGGCACGGCGCGCCGGCGACGGGCTGGAAGCTCATGGGCGTATTGAAGCCGTCGATGACGGACAGGTCGAAGAAGTCCTGGCTCCCGCCCCGCCCCAGCGTGTACTCGGCCAGCGTGGCGGGCTGCTCGCCTGACACGCGGCAGGACAGCGCGCCCGCGCAGTCGCCGGTGATGCAGTGTCCGCGGCCGCTGCCGTCGAAGGTGCACCCCGTGCGCGGCCACACCCTGGCGCCCGCGGTGCCGGCTGGCATGTTGAGCTGCCACGACTGGCCCGGGTCTAGGCGCGCGCCGCCGCCTGGGAGCGCGCCCGGCCATATCGTGTAGGAGCACCGGTTCACCACGGTTATGGTGGTCGCCTTGGCCGCGGCGACGAGGACGAGGACGAGGGCGATGAGGTGGAGGATGAGCGACGACGTCATGGCTGCTGCCGTTGAATGGTGGTTTGGCGGTGTTGCAACGGAGGTATTTATTGCCGAGGCGTCCATGCATAGGCTGCTATAGGCTGGTTTGGTGGCGTGTCCAAATCCAGGCCAGCTTGCCTAGTAGACATTTTCCACGGCGGCGTTTGCATCATGCAATTAATATCATTATAATGTAAGGTGCTAGAAGGCCAGAATCAGTGAATCACTACCAGAAACATTATCGTTTAGAAAGACAAAAAACAGCAGAAACATTTAAAAAAATTGTCACCTCCTTTATTCATTCATAAGGATAGTAGCATCACTTACAATAGGAGGAATAACCACATCCAGGGCGGTGTCCATCTAGATGGTTATAGAAGAGAATCTAGTTATCCTAGCCAGCTCATGAGCTACTTGATTTCTTTTTTTATTACAATGATCATAGATGACATGAGTAAAATGAAGCGACATAAGATAACAACCATCAAAGATAATAGAATCTACTAAAGAAGAGTAACCATCAATTAGGGCAGCAACAATCTCCACACTATCAGAGTTTACTTCGATCTTACTGTACACTATCAGCAACAGTCTCCACACTAAGAGCATCTCCAACAGCCGCGCAACACGTCGCGTGCAAAAAACTCATTTACTGTGTGCTGTTCGCCTGGTTTGGCGTGGCCGGCAGCGCTGGCTCCAGCAGCGGCGTGAAAATTGAGCGCGCGCGTAGCTCCAGCGGCGGCGCAAAAAGGCAGCGCACGCTATACATTGCGTACATTTTTTTAATAAAACTAAAATAAAATTCATAGATAAAATAAACGATACATAGATATTTTACATAGTTCCATAGCTAGATAGATAATAAAAACTAGTAGATAGTGCAACTACCACCTACTCCCAGTCGACGGCACCATCATCATCATCACCATCCTCGCTGCTGTCGTCCGAGGTATCGAGCCATATGTCCGTCCAACGATCATCGTCAGACGTAAAGATCGTATGCCCACCATTCTCAACGATTTCGCACTGCGCTATCGCCAGGGCCTTCCGTCGACGCCTGTCCAACCGTCGGTCGTGGCGCCTTTGCTCCTCCTCCTTGCGGCGCCTTGCCCATTAGGTTTGCTCGTAGGTGACGTCCTCCGGGTGGCACCGGTGCCACTCCGTCATGACCCGCTCATCCTCCTGGGCGACGAGGAGGCGGCGCTGCCGCTCGGCATGGTCCGCACGGTCTTCTGCCGTGTTAAGACGAGGCGACGGGGCACGGTCCAGCGCCTGCTGGTGCGTGTAGACGTCCTGGAAGTTCATCTGCGTGCGCGGCCTGCCTAGGCGCCACGCCGCCGCGTCGTATGCGCGGGCGGCCTCGCGCGCCATCCCGATGGTGCCGAGGCCGAGCCGAAGTTTGCCGGACCGTATCTCGGAGTAGAAACCGCCGTTGGGGCGCTGGCGGACGCCGCGGTAGCCCGACGCTCCTCGGCGGCGCGGCGGCATGATGGCGCGTCGGTGGCGGGGCGCTGGAGCAGTGGGGGCGCGCGTGGCAGCGGAAGCAACGAGGAAGCGGTGGAGGCGCGCGTGGCAGCGGAAGAGGAAGGGAAGTGTGTGGAATAGGCGCGTGGCGAGCGCCGCAATTTAAAGGCGCGCCGGAAGCGGTGCGCCAAAAATAACGCGCGATTTTCTCGCCACCGCTGGAGCGCGCCGAAACGTCCCGCACGCGCAAAATAATCGGTTTACCGTGCGCGCGCCTTTTCGGGCGGCTGTTGGAGATGCTCTAAACATTTGTTCCAAACGTCACTCAACTGCCTCCGTCGTGAATCGTGAATGAGTCAAAGCAAAGATCAACCACTTCATGAGTTCCCCTGGAGCATGTCGACATCAAAAGCCGCATACACGTTTACCTTAACGTAGCCCTATCTTGGTTTCAACATAGTGGCTGATCTCACTTTGGCGTTTTTGGACTGTACGAGATAATATAGTTAGCTGCTAAATATCTTACCGCCATATTAATTTGAGCAGCGTGTTGTGTTTCTTCTCCGTGTCCATTCACGACGCTCATACCACAAGTACCAGACTGTCGTTGAAACATTATTTAGTTGACCGGGTCTTAAAACTCCATGACAGTAGAGTCCAAGTATTGCACATGTTAGCGAGCCCTTGACCAGCGAAGGGTGGCCCACCCGTCAGAGTAGGGCTCATTGGAAAGTTAGCAAATTACTTACCTCTTGAGAAAAAAATGTTTTCTGCGGAGGGCTATCATTAATCAAGGAATCGGAGAACGCCCGTACGTCAGGTACGAGTACATGGCAAATCGAACATTTTCGATTGCAAGTTCAGTGACGTGAGGACGATAACTTTAGTTGGCAACATTACAACTTTGTGCTTCAGTTTATTTTTAACAGAAAATTGCTGTTTCTGTCCACTATCTTGCCATTGTGACATGCCCATCTCTGTTTGTTCGCTCACTTCCTTGCACATTGGGCCCTATCTGCCGTTCTCTACCGCTGATTGTCGTTGCTTCGCACAGGCGAGCAACCGAAACGTACCGCACATGGGCCAGCCCAAGTAGCTAGGCTCTATTTGTTGTGTTGTCGTTTCTTCCCAGTTTTCTCTTGTTTTTTCCTTTAATATTTTTCATTCATTGGTTTTCCTTTCCTACTTTTAAGTAGAAAATTTTGAAAAATACTCGCTGATTTGAAAAAGTGTTCATGTTTTTAAAAGAAGTTTGCATGTACAAAAAGGTTTGTAATGTTTTAGAAAAAAACTGGCGTTTTCAAAACTATTTGTGTTTCCAAAAAGGTTCACAATTTATTTTTTTCTTATTTTTACATAATATTTGGAAAATACAATCAATGTTCTCATTTTAAATTTTGGGTAAAATTCAGAAACGTTTACAATTTCAAAATTTGTCTTTGTCTTTGAATTTTTTTTTTGTGTTTTTATACTAGGTACACATTTTAAAAAAATAGTCATTTCCAAAATAATTCTATTTTTTTCTTAAAATGGCTACTACGGTGCTACTTCCTTACCAATTCAATATAACCATTGTTGACACTGTCACGACTCTAAAAACGTCTTATAAAAATTATAGAGTAGTTTTTTTTGACGGGATTATAGAGGGAGTAGTTACTACATTGCCTTGCTGCACTGATTGGGTGTTGCAGCAATTTGCCGCTTCAATGGGCTCCTATGGGCTGCTCCTATGCAGCTCGCTACTGTTGAACACAGTGAGCATTGCATGGGAGGACTGGTCGACAAATTGAGGCAAAAAGCGGCATATAGCAAACACGAGATCCATGTTTGTTTGTTTTTTGAGAAATCTCGCCCTGATCCAAAACAATATTCATTTTTTTAACCTAAACATGTTTGCTTTATTCAAATGCAATGTTCATGGGAATATATCTGGCGGGTTTATAAACCACACATTGTGCCCGGGCTCCAGACCAAAAGCATGTTTAGCAAGGCTGTGTGCCTCGACATTAGAATCTCGTCCTTCAAAGATGAAGAAGCACTGCTAGAAATTTATAGCTGTCTCATTAATCTCCCTTACTATAGGGGCATACACACCTCCAGTTTTGTTCTGAATGTCTCGTACTATGCCTTGGCAGTCAGATGCAGTCACCACTCTAGCCAAATAGAGATCTGCTGCCAGCAAGAAGGCTTCACAACATGCCAATGCCTCCAAAGTAGCGGGATCGGTCATACCTCCGTATTTTATGCATGAAGCCCCCAAAAACACCCCTTCAGAGCTCCTACAAACAGCAGTCAAAGATCCTTCATTTAGGTCTCTTGCAACTGCACTGTCAACCCTCAGTTTGGCTACCCGGGCATAGGAGCAATCTACCGCACCCGGCTGTGAGATGGGCCGGCAGCGGGCTGTCGTGTTAACTGTATTGGTTTGCAGTATTGTAATTCGGAGATACTTCATGATGAAATTGTTTGGGTCATCTTAGGTAAAGGCAACACAACTTGGGCCGGCCCTAGGACTACAGCCAATGCCTTGTTTCATATACTCCCTCGGATCTGCTGAGAAGACAAACTCCCTCCCATCCATATTAATTATCATTGATTTACTTTAAAGTTGTACTAAATCAATGATAATCAAAATGGATCAAATGGAGTAGTATTTTTGTCCTCAAAACAAATAAGTCGACTATTCTATCCTCAAAAAAGAAAGAAGTTGTCGAACAATTTTCCCCATAAAGTTTTTCAGTAGAATTTTTGTGGAATCATAAGTCAACATTATTTCCACTATTACATTAGAGACTTATCCATCGACGTAAATTGAAGCCCAATCGCCTCTATGGGCAGAAGGTGAGTTGGTAGTCTGATCCGACGGGGCAGGTGAAGGTGCTGCTCTTGTCGTCGTAGGCGTAGCTGTAGGCGTCCGGGCAGTGCCCCTTGAAGAAGCGCGAGTAGTCCGTCGGCCCACAGGTCGACGGCCTGAGCGGCGGCTTGCAGCAGTACTGGGGGGTGCCGAACTTGACGCAGGCACTCACGCAGCCTCCGTCCACCTTCAGCTCCGACGGGCACTTTGCGTTGATGTCCGCGGCACAGTTGATTGCGTGGCAGCTGCCGCCGGTAGGCCCAAAGCTCATCGGCATGTTGAATCCGTCGACGAGGGAGACGTCGTAGAAGTCGGGGCTGCCGCCCTTACCCAGCGTGTACTCGGCGAGCGTGGCAGGTGGCTTCCCGCCGGCGGCGCAGGCCAGCATGCCGCCACAGTCGCCCGTGGTGCACGACCCGCGGCCGCTGGCATCGAAGTTGCAGCCGGTGCGCCCCCAAATCCTTCCACCAGCCGTGCCCGGGGGAACTTGAATGGCCCCCGCTTGACCTGGGTCGAGCCTGCTACCACCGCCGACCGGGTAGGCGCCTGGCCACACCGTGTAGGGGCACTTGTTGAGTAGGTGGACAGTGATACCGTCGGTGGCAGCAATTGCGAGGAGAAGAGCAAGGATGAAGCTAAGTGAAGATGCCATGGTCGCCATTGTTGTTGTGTTGCCTCTGTAGTGAACGATGGAGGACCGGGGATGCTCCTGGATGCTAAATATAGATATTTTTTATATCTGTGTAAATGTGCCCTCTTACATGCATTTTAAATGGCATTAATGTGCCAAATTATATACCTCCGTATAAATATAAGCACTCATTTATATGATCTTAATGAGCCACGGTGGCGTTTCCATCAGGCGATTAATACGTACTCCTTCCGTTTTTAAATACAAGTCTTTTCGGGGTTTTAGTATAAACTACATACGGATGTATATAGACACATTTTATAGTGTAGATTTACTCATTTTACTTCGTATGTAGTCCGTAGTATAAAGTATCTTAAAAGACTTATATTTAGGAACAAATAGAGTACGACAAGAAGGCCGGACATATTGAACGGATTCTCGATTTCCGTTCATTTCCACGGCTGCTCAAGATTAAAACGGTTAGCCATGCAGCGATTTTTTTGTTTCAAAGGAGGCAAAATTTTGCCTCATCGTATTAATATTGACGCCGATAAGTTTGAACCTTCGGTTTTTTACCATGGTAAACTAATTTTTTTATGACAATTTTAGTTGACGCGAGACTGACAAATTTAGTTGACAAACATAGTAAGTCTGTCTTAGTTTATTTCATGCCAGAAAATTGCCGAGCTTACCAACAACTAAAACTTGCCATCCCCTGGTCAACTAAACTTATCATTTCCTTATTAACTAAGAGATGAGTACATGAGAACAAAGACGGTGTCTACTATCACGACATCAACAAGCTCAGGCGTTTGGCAGCCGGCATCCCCATAAAATGGACTCCGCTCTAATCCTCGCAATTATTACATTCAACATGGAAGTGACCTTATTAAAAATCCTTGCGTTCCTCTCATTGCAAATCCCCCATGACGTGAGCATGATAAGAGACGCAAACTCTTTTCTAATATTGCCATTGGCGTTGATCAAGGCGAACCACCTATCTTTTGATGGAGGTGTAGTTGGTCCATGATTCAATACCCACATGTGTCAGCCCAGTCAAGTCCGGATGCTGTCCCAGATGAGCTTGGTGTATTTACAGTGGCTTGGCATATTTACATTGAACATAAGGTGTGTCACCGTCTCCGCTCCCTCTTGCACAACTGGCATAGCCTGCAGTTAGGCCATCTGCTACGTTGATGTCGGTCAGCCATCCAAATGCGATCTTGCAGAACTAGCCACACAAAAAAATTGTGCTTGGGCAGTGCCCAATTGGACCATACCGCCGGCCTCATCTTGCAGGTGACTCAATCGACGAGTTGAGAATGATATGCAGAAAAGGTCAACCTCCAAACGATTTGGTACTCGACCTTGACATTGAGGTTTTACCTCGTGTAGGCCAACCCATAGCTCAGAGAATTGAATGAGGTCCTGAACTAAGAGGCCCAAACTTATGTTGATGTTTTGAATCCAAATACCATTCTCCCTCGATGAATGGAGCCCGCTTGGAGATTGCAAAAATGGATGGTGCTATGTATTTGGGTTTGTGGCCTCCTAGCAAAGAAGAGTACCAAAAAGGTGCAGTTTTCCCATCTCCAATAATTATCGTGGTGCAATTGTTGATGAGATTCATATCGCTCTCATCGCAAGGGTGCCCCAAGTTGATCCAAACACAACCGGGGTCCTTCCAGGCTACCCATGGCCATCATACATGAAGCGCCCTTGTGAATTTGTCCATATCAAGAGTGCACAGTCCTCCAAATTCCTTAGGCGTGCACGCGAGGTCCCAATTTTATTTGCACTTTCTATACACCTTATCTATTCCAACCCATAAGAATGCCCTTTGAATCTTCACAGTAGCGTGCATGATCCCCTTGGGAGGCCGAAGTGACGTGAGGTGATAGATTGCTTGCGATGTGATGACGGATTTTATCCAAGCACACCTACCTACCATCATGATGAACTTCCCATTTCCACACCTAACCTTACTAGTGATCTTGTCAAGAAGGTATTGGAAGTCAACGCTTCACAGCAGGTGCACCGCTAGAGGGAGGTCGAAGTATCGCAATGGGAACTGGGACCGCATAGTCGGCAAGGCGGCCAGGATAGCATCAAGATTAATGCCTGCGCATCTGAATGGGGCAACCAAACTTTTCTGAACATTTGTTAATAAGCCAATGACTTCTCCAAAACTTTGCAGAATGCCGCTAGCATATGAATATCCTCTTCTATCGGTGAGGGATAACGACACTGATATCGCTGCCATCGTGTAGTCTAGGAGACCCAAATTAAGCCCCCTTAGGAGCCCGAACGAGGAGACGATGACTGCAACGCACAATGACCGAAGTCGGAGCTCGATTTTCACTAACTGCCACTTCTGCCCAACTCGTAGCCGGTTAGATCGCTGCCAAGTCGCATAGATAAGCTTTGTGCTAGCCCGCAACTGTGTCGTCGTGTGACCATTGGCCACGGCGACGACGGATCTAGACGAGTGCCAGATCCACATCCCATCGCCACCAATCATCACCAAAGCAGAGAAGCACACCTGAGCCGGCTCACACCGTCAGTCCATGGAGGCAACGACCACTGCGGCATATTCAAGGGGCGGCGTCCTGACCGCCGTGCCCGATCTCCCACAAGCACCACCCAGTCGCCTCAGGGGACACCACTATAATCGACCCACCCAAGCACCTTCGACGCCGGTCTTGTCGCCACCATGGCCAATGCTAGCGACAACGGCGGTAGGTGAGATGCCGAGATCGAGGCCTCGCAACACTATGGATGGGGCCCTCGGCGTCACCTTGGGGAACAACGCAAGGGGTTTTCTTTCGGTTCCTCTTAGGTCTGTGCAACACTATCATACGGTTTCCTAGATAATTAAGGCCTTATTAGCTGAATTTGTAGTTCCTTTCTTGTATATGATTCTACACTGTAGTTCAAATTTTGGATCCTCTCCTGTTCCCAGATAAACAATGGACCATAGCGGATCAAAGGTCTCCCATCACGATGAACAGCTCTCTGGTGCATGAACATGGCCCATGCCTGAATCACACTAATCAGTGTTGTTGCCTGAATTATCAGCCTCATCTGTGCGTCCATAACCTAGTCGACATCGATGGTTCATTCAGTGGGTAATCGATCCTACACCTAGCCTAATGGCCTAACCACCGACATAACAAAGGGGGGAGGAGGTGCTGCTTACCGGCATCGGAGACGAGGACGGCTTAGGGGGAGCCATGGCACAGACAAGGTCGAACGGACGGTGGCCAACAGCAAGGGGAGCACCAGATCCGCCGCAATCGCCGCCGTCTCTTCCGCCGCCGCCGTCGCCCACTCTAGCACAGATCTGAAATCGCAGCCACTGCCGGTGGTGAGGCAGTAGGGAAAAAAGGGGGGTAGTGGCTATGGCTCAGCAAGTGAAAGGGGGGGGGGTGAGGCTAGATTTGGTGCAGTGACGACGCGCCAAATTTTCATCTCCCGCCATCCCCCCTCGCCCGCCTCGCACGCGCCCGTGCGACCTCGCGCCGCACTCAACCTGGCTCGCGAGAAACTGCCGATCCGAGCGTTTCCAGCGAGCCAGGCTGTGGGTTGCTTTGAGAAGCATGCGATACAAGGCCCAACAGTGAAACCAGGCTACCAAACAGGCCTCTTATTTCCCACGCAGACCTGGTTGGGCTCGATGCGGGCAACCAAACACGCCCTTTCTGATGTGTTGCATACGTCTTTTGACATGCACCGGGCTGCAACTGCTCCATGGAATATTGTTCTCGGGAAATGAGAGCTTCAAACTATCTTCATTTTGAGATCCACGGCTTGCCTACACATCATTCACATGATAATGCGAACTAAGCTGCATGTTGGAGTAGTTAGCATGAAGTAGACCTAGCAGAAACCAGTCCAATGGCGCTGGCCAGTTGTACCCATGTTCATGATATGAGGCCTATAAAAAACCATGCACATATCTAAACTAGACAAATGCGAGAGCTCAAGAACTAGATTTGACATTGATGCTCGCGTTATTTCTGAATTTATTTCAGACTTCCAGCGATGTTTGTTCAGTGAAAGAAGACGTTCACCTCTCGACTGACGGGCGCCTAGACATGAAATATGTGTACTGATAAAATAGATCCGCTCCCCCGGTACAGTTCCACAGCCATGTAAGAAGTTCCACTAAAAACAATTTAATTAGGTGTGTTATCTAAAATATGAATTTTTTTATTGAACCGGTTTCAACTCTCTTTATACTTGGCACAAACAATGACCATGAGCGGTGGCAAGTGCGTAAAATTTCACAAAGTTCCTCTAAAAACAAACCTCACGACGTTTTTGACGTGGTCGGGTGATTTCTTAGCGGGGGACATTTGGTAATTAAAAATTATCAGGCCTAAAACCCATTTAACATTATTTGTTGGATAAACCTCAAAGGCCCATTGTTATAGGTATATACGGCATTTTGAAGAATTTTTTTTTCTACTTCCAACATGTTTTATATCAATTACAAATTTACAAGACACATTTGTACCACAACTGCAGAGAGGCAGAGAGCTAGCGAACAAATTTCTACTCCCATATTAAGATGGAACGCACGCTTATGTGCTTGAACGTTGCAACAGACTTGGCAATACATTAATTAAAGGCTACCGTGGTTTCAGGGGTAAGTAACATCTTCCAAGTATAGAGCAACCGTATTTATCTATTTGTAAACGTTACAAAGTTCCTTCTTTTGCGGGAATTAATGCTTGGACGTCACAAACTTATCTTCTTCCAAGTATAGAACAACGAATTAATTAGTGCTTATCTACTTGTAAACGCTAATAGCAATGAATTAATTGGTGCCATATATTGGAGGGACCATTCAAACTGCATGACGTTGCACATTTACATAGATACCTACAAATTATCTATATTTAGCAATCCAGGTCGAGCAACAATTAGCCTATAAATACCGTCCGGTAGGCCTTCAGTCCACATCGGTCACTGCATACACACACCACCGCCACCACCATCATCAATCACAACACCCAACCATGGCGTCTTCACTCTTCATCCTTGCCCTCCTCCTCACCGTCGCTGCAACCAACGCGGCCACCATCACGGTGGTGAACAAGTGCTCCTACACGGTGTGGCCAGCCGCCATCCCGGTGGGAGGCGGGACCAAGCTCGAACCGGGCCAGTTGTCCACAATCCATCCACCCGCCGGAACAAAATCTGGAAGGATCTGGGCGCGTACGGGCTGCAAATTCGACGCCAGCGGCAAGGGGTCCTGTACCACGGGAGACTGCGGCGGCGTGCTGGCCTGTCGTGCCGGCGGGAAGCCACCCGCCTCGCTCGCCGAGTACACTCTGGGGACAGGCAGCAATGCTGACTTCTACGACATCTCCCTCGTTGACGGATTCAACGTGCCGATGAGCTTCGGGCCCGTCGGCGGCAGCTGCCGCGCGGTCAGCTGCGCCGCGGACATCAACGCAAAGTGCCCGTCGGAGCTGAAGGTGGACGGGGGCTGCATGAGTGCCTGCGGCAAGTTCGGCACCGCACAGTACTGCTGCCCACCGCCGAGTACACCGTCGACTTGCGGGCCGACAAACTACTCGCGTTTCTTCAAGGGGCTCTGCCCAGACGCCTACAGCTATGCCTACGACGACAAGACCAGCACCTTCACCTGCGCTAGCGGAACAAACTACCAACTGACCTTCTGCCCGTAGATCCGTCATCATCATCCATATGCATATGCATGCTAGGAACTGAATTTCTTCGATGAATAAGTCTGTACTTGACGGAACTAGAAATAGAACGAATGAATGAAGGAATGAAGTAGTTTCCCAAACAAAATCTTGTCAAATAGTAATTTACAAAACTGCAGCAAATTTCCTAACTTCTTAAATTGAACATGTGCGATAGCAACTTTCTTTCCCCGATGGATACACATAACACTAGAAGAACGCTCGTGCGTTAATATCAATTATGTTAATATTACATTTAATATTCTCATACATATCAAGTGACATTGGCGACCTTTTTTACCTTCAAATTCTCACACACACACTCTCGCCCTCCCTCTTCCTCACTCTCTCTCCCCCTCTCCCTCTCTCTCTCTCTCTCCCCCTCTCCCTCTCTCTCTCTCTCTAACACACAAACATATCCATCTTATTGGATACGGGACCACATTAACTTTAAGAGTTCAATATCAATTATGTTAATATTACATTTAATATTCTCATACATATCAAATGACATTGGCGACCTTTTTTACCATCAAATTCTCTCTCTCACACACACACACTCTCCCTCCCTCTTCCTCACTCTCGCTCCTCTCTCTCTCTCTCTCTCTCTCTCTCTCTAACACACACACATATTCATCTTATTGGGTACGGGACCATAATCCATCTATTTCACATGCACACGCGCTAGTGCATAACAATATGGATTATGTGTATTATATTTGCCACCACAACTGAGGGAATTTATTTCATGTAAATCGGCTAGCCACAGCTCCATGACAAACAATACATCTAAATTCTCAGCGTTATTTTTATGTAACATTGGCGAGAGGTGAACGACGGTGATTGTTTTCTTTGTTTGGAGATTGATTACCATCCGTGAGTTAAGCTGGGTACTAAAGAAGAATCTGATTGTGATACGTGAATTGATTGTTGCCTTATACGTTTGGTTTTGGTATTTGAAGATTGATTACCATCCGTTAGTTGGGTTACCAAAGAAGAAATCAATCACCATATGTACAAAAAGGAACTACATTGCACATGCTTACACCTCATCTACTCGTGAGAATATATAGAATTGGAGCAAACAAAATAAGTGCAGACGAGAGATAAAACATCAATGAGGATCCCTAATGTCATGACTAATATGTTGTCCTCCAGCTTGAGAAGCACCTACAAGGAAGGGCTAACATACAGAATCACGAGCCACTCCAATTTATGACTCACACAACTTCATCTTCAACTTGTTAATGATGCGTGAACCTCAACGTACCATGTGGTACTGTTGGAGGCCATGATGACCTGGTGCACCTGTGACTCACTAATGTTCCATCATGCGCAACGCCTCCTGAAACGCCTTTGGCATCGCATGACAGAAGGTAGGAACGCGTTAAGAGCAACTGAGGCAAAACAACAAACAAGTGGCACCCCTCTTGTAAATATATAACATTAATATCTTTTGTTAATTAAATGCAGTAGAAGCCTCTCCTGTCGTTTCCTCCTAAAAAACAAAAGAATGGCGCAATTGAATGGTGGTATCACACAATCCAACTCTTCACATCAGCGAACTCCTTAATCTGCCTGGCCCTATTCTTATTCAAAAGGTTGTGCAACCAGGACCGTTACTCCTACAATTTTGCTGTCGAGACACGACTTATGTGATGCAGTAAAGCACATGAAAGAGATGACGCCACTGACGAGATCTTGGCGATTATATGTAACATAATCAAGCAGTGCTAGCTCAACTTTAGTGCCAATCAGCATAGCCTATTTAGGCTATATATTACTGTTAAATACCGTAGCATTGCAGAGCTTATTGCATCCTTGTACACACGATCAATATTTAGTTATCTACGGACATGAAAACATATGTATCTAGACCAGCGGGAACAAAGACAAAAGCCATGTTAAACTTGTCACCTGGCGCACATGCACTTGCATACTAGCTCCTAGGCATGCACAAAGAAAAAACTGAAGCACACTGATGAAGTAACTCAGAAACTATGTTCCTGTCTCAAATACAAATAAAACCAACAGCCAAAGATGAACTGGTTAAGCATTCCCAAAAATTACATGTTCAGAACTCCTCAGAACATAACTCCAACTATCAATCTCATAAATTTGAAGTTAATATCTCATAAATTTGAAGTTAATATCTCTCAATCGTAAAAATAACATGCATCAGGTTGTCAACTAATTTTAGATGCATCCACTATCAATCTCACTAAATGCAAGTTAATATCTTGCCAAAAGCAGGCGTTTCATAATGTTAGCAAATAAAGTTTTCAGAACACTGTATATACCACCACAAAATCATAAGAGAATGAGTGTATACAATCTACAAGGTAATGTAGCAATTTATAGGTTGGGTACTTACTTCAGTAATAAAACAGGTTCAAGGTAGTAACAAGTATTCTTCTAATGCATTAATAAACAAATATTCTGCACTGAAGACAAGATAAACAATTCCCAAAGTGCATCAGAGCATCACAGAACATTACTGGCAAGATAAATGCACGATGATACACCCGACTCATTTAATTAATATAATTAAATTATCAGTAAATTAGTCACCAAACGGCTCGGATATGAACCGGAACAGAGCCAACATATATCAGCCTAGACAAACGCAATATCAACCATTTACCTTGGTACTTTAGGGACCGACAGGAGGATGCATGTAGAAGCGCTTCTTGCCTGCGAATCCACAGTCAGATAGAGAAATTGGAACCCATTCCCATCACCAACTGATAAAGAAAGCACGTAAAAAAATTGATATCGGGCCAACTTGGATCTTTGGTGATTGTCCCCCCGGTATGGAGAATTTAGGAGAGTGGGTGCAGGGAGTGGCCTTGTGGATGATGGATGGAGGCGCAGAGGGATGTGGTCGCCGGAAGGTCGAAAGCGGAGAGGGTCGGGCACGTTAGGCGAAGCCGGTGGTGCGCGACAACCGGAGGCGGCCCAATCGTGGGAGGCGAACTGCCGATAGCCTCGACCCATCTTCCGACGCGGCGAAGATAGAGAGGGCGGCACTGCCAGTGCTCGAGGCCGCCGCTCGGCACCATCTACATTGAGGGGAAAGAGAGGCGAGAAAGCGGTAGGGTGATGCGGGGCTAGGGATTGCAGAGGAGGGTGGGGGTGTGCGATTTGAATGGATGGTTCTGCCCATCGTTTTCTTGTACGTGGCGGTGGATACGGCGGCGTCCAGCCATGCAGGCGAGGCATGGGTCGAGACGGGCACACGGCGAGGCGCAGTAGCAGAGGCGGGGGCGATTTTTTGCTACTGAGATGCAGGGTGTGGGATTGATCGTTCATGTTCTCTTTTTCTTTTTAACGGAAGATGGATGCGATTTTTTCATGAGGGGAGAGATGCGACCACGTACAGATTCCATAATAAATTAATTAGGTCCATAACGGGACTTGTTTATAATGCGTTAAGATTTACGTGTTCTTAATAAAGAAATGCACTGATGTAGGGAGCGATTGATTCGGGTAAGGAAAGATAGATTTGTGATCCTTTGTATGTTAGGAAATTACTGGTTTGCAAGGAAAGAGTGGAGAGAAAAAGAACCAATGCGACCACGTACAGATTCCACAATAAATTAATTAGGTCCATAACGGGATTTGTTTACAATGCGTTAAGATTTACGTGTTAGTTTTCATAATAAAGAAATGCACTGATGTAGGGAGCGATTGATTCGGGTAAGGAAAGATAGATTCGTGATCTTTTGTATGTTAGGAAATTAGTAATTTGCAAGGAAAGAGTGGAGAGAAAAAGAACCAGTACGAGGGGGTGGTGGGAGGTGGGACGAAGAAAAACCGGATGAAATTGGGAGGTGGGAGGGGGGCGAGTAAAAAACCGATGAAAAAAAACCAACGAAAGTGGGAGGTGAGAGGGAGGATGAAAAAAAACACCAACGAAAAAATACCGAAAAACTATTCACCAACTGCTCCATTAGGAGTACAGATATATGAATGACTATAGGCTCAGCGCAAGGCACAATTTTTTTTTTAAGATAAACCATCTTTTGTTCCTAGTTCTGCTATTTGCTGCTCGTCTGGAGAATAGCGTCGCCACAGGTGTGGCCCAACGATACATACAATTTTCAGTTGCAAAATCTCATAATATATGCTCGTGTATGTTTGAATAAATGGTGATGACTTTAATAAGGAGCAAGGAAATTTGGGCGGTCACGGTTAATGGACAAAACGCACACTTCATTTCCTCGTAATTAATTATAATCCACTGAGACGTCTCCATCCGTACCTGACGCCATGCATGTTGCCGGATGCTAATTAATCATGCTTCATCCATCTATGTGTGTAAGTCATCTTACGAAAATCAAATAATCCCAAAACACTTAGACGCGGTGCATTAAATTTTACCTTATTTCTTGTTCCTTGACATATCAACCAATAAGAGATGTACGATGTGCATGCTTTTAATGACTTGAGACTACCAAACACGACATGAAGTGGATAGTTCATTGCATGCACTGCTATTAATTAGCAAATGAACATTAAGTTCTCTCGATTTCCCCTCCTCCTTGGTCACCGTGCACAACCTAAGATAACTTACTCACCTAGACGAAGGGAATACATTTAGTCAGCATGAAGTCTAAGAGCGTGGACGTCGCGCATAACATCTAGCACGCGGATGTCACACTACATCAGTGTCGATATTTCCCAAAAGGCCGACGGTAGTTGCTGGATGAATCTGATGTTAAATGTACATGAGTCGCTCTTGGAGTCATGGTCACCGCAGAAAGGACGGCTATTTTGTGGCGGTCGGTTCACATAGCATTTAATATTATTCCTCCGAATATTATTAACATGTTATTTGTGACGTGACTAGATGGGATAGGTCCAGAAACAACGAGACATATCCGTGTAGGAGTATGTGCTTTATTACGGACAGTTTGGAACTGTAAAAACGACTTGGTTTTTAACAGAACAACAAATATTCATTTCTTGCAGGTTATTAT